TAAAGAATTAATTTAAAACTTCTTCATTAGGAAAACCATATCAAAATATTGGAGCCATGAAAATCCTATGACTGGTTTTGAATTTTTAGAAGTATAGCTTCTGTGATAAAACATCGCCATCTGAAGAATTAAATTCTTCACTTTATTGGAGCCTAATGATTTATGAAGCAAATAGTGTAAATATTTAGCAACTGTGAGAAAATATGTTGTTATTAATATGCCAATTATGAGATATTTGGATGATCTACAATTGATGGAAAAAATCTTTAAAATTGTGAGATGATAACGTGACCCTTTATATAACAACACGGATGGATTTATTTAATATCTGTTACACGAGTTAAATTAATTAATATTAATTTGTGGCCTTTTTTGTTACCCCAGATATGTGTTTCCTGGATAGTGAAGTCTTTAAATATAACACTAAACCCCTAATTTTTTGCATGGAAAATTCATCGAGATTTATTTTATTCATTCCTTGGCACAAAAAGTATAATACAACTTTTTCTGTAAATGTTGATAATTGGCAATTTTATCCAACATACGTTTGCTCCATAGAAAAACTATAGATAAATGGTTGAGATTAACTTCATTCATGTATAAAGTCATCTGACAAAAAAGAATCATACAAATTGATTTTTTGTGTAAAGGTAATTAACACATATTAATATTAATACATAATTGATAGATGAGGAGGGTTTTTTATGAATTATATAGCCCTGCACAAGCCAATCCATAAGGTGCTTAATTATTTATTAATATCAATCGTATTTTTAAATTCCTAAAATATATAATTATTAATATGAATTCTTTTTTACAACCAGTCAAAAATTTATAATTGTTTAATTGATTCATTTTCCAATTTAATATTTTGTTCTAACATTGCATAAAGTATTTTTGAAGAAATAAGTTCTGCATGCTCATCAGATGAGAATTTTGAATCAGAATTTGGTGATGTGATGTCTCTAAAACTATCTATTGTTTTTATATATCCATCTCTATCTTCTTTCAAATCATTTATAACTTTTCTAAGGTTGTAAATTTCCTTGAGTTTTGCTTTGCTTTGTTTTTCAAGATTTTTGCTTGGTGTTTCTTCATTATCTAATATAATTTCATCACAATCACTGTTGTATTCTTCTTGTAAACTTTCCAGTTTTATCATGGAAAGTTCTACATTTGAATCTCCTTTTTTTATTTCTTTTTCCAATTTTGCGTTTATGACATTTTTTTCTTTATTTAATGTGTCATTTGATGATTTTAAATATTCAATAAGATTTTTACACTCATCAAAAATCTTTCCATAATCTTTCCTCTGTTGATGCTTTACAGCAATAGCTTGTTTATAATCTTTAATATTATTTAACGAGTATAAATTCTGTGGTATTTAAAATACATATAAAAATATTATTTAGTGAAGATATGAGATTTTTTTTTTATCATATCATATCATGGATATGTTTATATGTTTAAAATAATAATGATAAGAAAAACTTGCATAAATTTTATTATCATCTTCTATGTTCGAAACAAGTTCATGAAATTTTTTTAAAAAAGTTTGGTTTGGTTGAAATTCTGCCGATTTATCATTTAATATTGATTCACATTCAGAAATCAGCAAAGATGTGCTTGGCAAATAACTATTGCATGTCAGAGCACCATCATCACTATCATCATTTGTTTGACCACTTGAGGTTTCCATTTTACTTGAATCTATATTATCTTCAACACTCGAGGCTTTAACAACATTTCGTCTTTTTATTTCCCTTGTATCTAACTCATCATCACTAATGGTACTTGCAGATAATCTTCTACGAAGTTTTCGATTTTTTTCTGAATTGCCAAAATTTTTCTATAAAAATAATGGTAGATTTGATATATTTAATTATACAACAATATATTAACCCACATATATATATATACACACACTACCATTGAATGTTTTTTTGAATTCCATTCCATAATTAAATCATTGGAAATATTACATGGTGGCTCCTACAATATAATAGTAATTTTTATCAGTAAAGATAACTTTTTAAAAAGCAAGGCAAAAGCCAAATAATTGTGATTGTAATAAATACCCAAGTCGGTTCCCAAACTTCCCCATTTCTATTTTTACCTCCCCATTTTACTAAATATTTTAATCTACCTTGTATAGTTTTTTCGCCTAAAAGGCATTTCGCAGACCAGAATTTCGTTTTCATTTTCGTTAGAAAATTTTTTTAACCAATAACACGGGGAGGAATGCTGCAACAAAATGAACATTTGTACTACAAAAGGATTTTAGGGTTCAACATTGTTTAACATCGCCACCATTTTACTAATATATACTAACGCAACTTTATAACGTTAAAGCATTATTATTATTATTCAATGAATACCTCTTAATTCGCTGTCGTCATTAATGATTCACTATTACTACGAGTATTGTGGTTTTTTTGGGCAAATGAATGTAGATTTTTTTCTTTTTGTAATGTTTAAAAATTACTTAGCCGGATAATCAAAGCTAGGCCGGTTAACTAATTTGGCCAGGTTTTTTCTTCTTGTCTCCATTTGTTTAGTTTCTTTTACGATAAGTTGGTGATTTTCTTTTGATAGTGCCTCTTTCAAATTTTTCGCTTCTGGCCTTCCACATTATTTCTTTCGATCTTAATTCTGCCTTTAATTTTTCCAGCTACATACATACACACACACATATATATACACATAAATAAAAAATAGGAAAGATATTTAATAAAAAATCAACTAATCAATGTAAATATATACTTGAATGTCTTTCCTTCGATGAGCTTCTCCATTTCTTTTATAATATATATTATTTTTGTTTTCACGCACTATTTAAAAAAAAAAACAAAGTTAATTATAACTAGAATGACGACAATGATCGCAACCATCATTTTTTTAAATTTCCCTATTCTGATAATACTTGCTTAGCGTCAATGATGAATTTTTGTTCATAATTATATAGTCTATAAGAATTTTAAAAATTTGACAAAAAGACTTTTCATTGGACCATTGGTCATACAATATATGTCCAAGTTGTCCCGTTCAGGAGTAATTTTCACACAGCTTGGTTGGCAATGGAAAATGTCCAATGATTCATTGGACCAATGGACTTCTCAATTGAAGTTGAAAATGATGCCTTGCCAACGAAAGAGAATATTAAAAGAGCTGGGAGAAAGAGGAAATGGTTCTTTCTCTCTCGGAACAGATTGTTCAATTAAAAAAAGAAATTGCTGAATTAAAAAGCACAAAAAGAAAAATCCTCCCAATCAGGCGGATATCTACCAAGATGTCTAACTAGTAAATCAAGAAGATCAATTTGTAATGATAGTAAACAGCTAGTTGATTATTTACCATGAATTTTAATAGGATGATAGGACATTTTTGTCTATCTGTTAGGAAGAAAGAAAAAATGCCCACCTACCACCTCCATTAGAATTATCCGGGGGCCTGATATGCCCTACATTCGAGATGAGTAAAATTAAGATTGTTGTATACATCACGTGCACAGATCCGGAAAAAATGTTTCGTTTTTTGCCCAGTAAAGTATTCACGACAATTTCAAATAAAATAGTAAAAAAAAAAACTTTTAATGTGTTAGGAATTGAAACTTCATGTGACGATACAGCTGTTGCGATAGTTAATTCTGATCGTCAAATCATAAGTGAAGCCATACATCTTCAACAACACCTTCACGAACCAAATGGTGGGATAGTTCCTAACTTAGCAATGGCAAGTCATCAACAAAATTTACCATTAGTAGTTCGTGAAGCTTTAGATAAATCAAATTTAGATTTGATTCGTGATATCGATGTGATTGCCGTGACTAGAGGACCAGGACTTCCAGCTTGTTTAGGAATTGGTCTAAGTGCAGCAAAAACTTTGGCAGCAGCTCTATGGTAAATGAATTAAATTCTGATCTTCCATTGAAAAAAAACTTTGTACATATCAAAATATTTATTCAATTTTGGATCAGGAAACCATTGATAGGTGTCCATCATATGGTATGTTTTTTAAAAGTTTACATATATATATTTATTTATTTACTTTATATTGAAAATTGATTTTTTTTTTCTAAAAAAAAAAGGAAGCACATGCTTTAACTGCACGTTTAACAAGCCCAGGATCTGAATTATTACAATTTCCATTTTTAACTTTATTGATATCTGGAGGACATACTTTAATTTTAGTTACTCATAATGTTAATCAGTATACACAACTCGGTACAACATTGGATGATTCGATTGGTGAAGCATTTGATAAGACTTCGCGCTTGTTGGGAATACCATGGGTAAAAGGTCGTAGAGGTGGACCTGGTGCAGCATTGGAACAATTGGCTTTAGAAGGTGATCCAAAAAAGTACTCGGTTACAATACCGATGAGAGGAGAAAGACAAAGATATTCTATGGATATGAGCTTTAGTGGTTTGAAAACAGCAATAAATAATTTAATCACTAAATATGATTTAGATTTAAACGATTCAATTATAAAAAAAGATTTAGCCATAACGTTTCAACAAACTGCAATTAAACATTTAACTGATAAAATGGAATTGGCATTTCAATGGTGCAAAAAAAATAATATCTCTTTAACGTCATTAGTTGTAAGTGGTGGTGTAGCAAGTAATAAAAATATTCGTGAAAGGTTGGTTGATTTAAATCATATATATATATATAAAATACAATCTGATTGATAGATTGTAATCTTTTCCCTCCTTTAACAAAAAAATAAAAAGCTTACAATTGTTAGCAACTCAAAAACACAACGTACAGTTAATTTGTCCTCCACCACATTTATGTACTGATAATGGAGTTATGGTTGCATGGGCTGGCGTGGAAAGATTTCGCGAAGGGCTAGTGGATGAATATACAATCGACCATATGCCAAGATGGCCAATAACATCTTTAGGTTCTTCAACTAAATATTTATAACCCTGTAATAAAAATTTTTTATTTCCAATTTCATCATTTTATTTATTTATTTATAATTTTAAATAAATTTCATTCAACATCATCAAATAAATCATTAAAAAGTTTAATTTGATTTTTAAATTCAATAAATTCTTCAATTAATAAATCATTTTCGTTAAGCTCACTTTCATCCAAATCCAAAACGCTTCCTTTGAGTGAGATTTGTTTAAGAACAGCATGTAATTCATTTAATCTTTTAAGTGTTTTTGTTTGGTTCTCAATAACATTGGATAAATGGTTTTTTGCTTCCCATGCTTTAGCTAATGCGATACCATTTAAAGCAAATACTGCAACTTGTGCCGCTTTCTTTTAATATATATATAAAAAAAATAGATTGATTGATATTAAAATAAATATATATAAATCAAACAACAATTATCATTCATTATCTATCACCTCAATAACTCGACTAGATTTAAACCTTGCGCCAAATAAAACTAGATCAACAGCAGCAACCCTAAAAAATAATGTTTTTTTTATATATATTTTGCGGTATAATTTTTAAAAAAATTATAAAAAAATAAATATTAACCCTGCATGAAGTAATAATCTATTCGTTGTACTAATTTTTTCATCTTCTGAAGTTTTGAGATATTTTTCACATTTAACTGAAACCAATTCAATCGTTTTCATAAAATCTTCAACAGCTGCAACCAATGATATTAAGCGTGCTATAAAAATTTTTAAATTTTTATAAAGTTAATAAATATAGATATTTAGATAATATGAAAATATGGAAACATACTTGAAAGTAGATGAAATTGTTTGTTAACAAGAATATTCAAAATATTTTGAATTAATGAATCCAAATGTTTAAGATAAGCGTCAAAATGAGATTTTTCAGAAGCAAGCACGCTTTTAAAATCTGTATGAGCATTCTTTAGTAATTCACAAGATCGTTTAATTGATTTCAAATTTTCAACTAAAGCCCAAATACTTAAAACCAAATTAAAACCACATTCTAAAAGCTTTTATTATTTTTGATAAAAAAAAAAGAAATATTAGCATCAAAGAATATATATATAATTATATTATATTAAAAAACTTACAATTGTATTTTTATTAATCAGGGTTTTTAGGTTTTTATTTCTTGCCAATCCTGATATTCGTTGGATTATTCTTCTAAAGATTTTACATCTTAATCTATTATCCATAGCAGAAATCACAATACCAACACCTTCCAACATGCTTAATGACGTAACTTTTCTAGGAAATATTCCATGGAAAAGTCCTTCCAACACATCTAAAGGTATGTCATTTTTTTTTTGAAAGATTAATGCTAGTTCATGCAATTTCCTATTAAGCCAGTCACTATCAGTATCTTCTGGTAAATTTGATGCTTCCAATAAAGTTGAGTTATAATCATCAATATTATCGTCGTCGTCAATATCATTATTGCTACCACCAGCTTCACAGAATGACGGATTGATTGTATTTGGGTGAAATAATTGAAAAGTTATATTATCAATAGGTACCCAATCATTTAGACCGTTTTCAGTTAAGTAAAAAAGATTTGTGCCAGCAAGTCGAAGTAAGTTATGAAAGTCTGTGTGAACTTGGTTGCGGAAGCTTATTTTTACCTTTTATATAAAAAAAAGATTATTACTGATTAATTTAACCATGAACAAATTATATATATAAATTTAAATAATCAAAAATACCTTTGCAGTTTTACCATTATATTCATTAACTTCAAAAGAATATAAATGACGAAGTCCAACTGGTATTATCGAGCGAGATAAAGAAGTTTCGTCAATTGGTGCCTAATGAAAAATAAAGTAAAATAAATAAAAGTTGTTCTTAATAAAAGCAAACCAAAAAAAACCAAATAGTCGTTACTTTTAAGTTGAAAAGTTGAAATAGAGAAAAATTTTCCGCGTTTGGATCTGAAAACAAGGAATTTTCCTCAATGCAAATTAAGGTATTATCACGTATTAAAGAAATTGGTTGTAAGTAATGCATAATTTAAGAGAACCTTGATTAGAAATCTGAAATAATTGGAATAAAAAAGTACATGATTTGATTGTTTACCAATTTAGGTGATGTAGTATTCTATGCAAAATAAAAGCAATATCCGCCCCGGATTTGGGTTAAAATACCCCACAAAAAAACGATCATTGATCGATCGATCATGAATTAATTTGTTCACATTATCATTTACAAAGATTTTTGTGAATACTATATAATATACTAATCAACAAAAATTATTTAGTACTAGCGTTTTTGCAACTTTAAAAGCTATACGGGCATTGACTTCTAAGCTACCACACATATATATGTGCTTGTTGCGCCCCATAATGTAGAAATTTTTAAAATCATTTTTTGTGTTTTTTCCCTTTGAATAGGAGGAAATTGTATATGCTTTTGATTTATTAATTCATATATTATTTTTATATAGAAAGAATTATAGGCTTTAAATATAAGAATAGCAATGCTGTAAACAAAAATGATAATAAACCAAGATTAAAAAAGATTGAAAATTTTATAACATTTATTGGTTATTATTGTAGGAATAGATTTTTGATTGTTTGATTTTGGTTTAGATTATTGCCTGAAGCTAATGCTAGTAGCTCTCTTAAATTTTTTTATAATCATTTCCCAATAGGAACTCTAAATTTTCTTTGACAAGCCCTTCGAATATGATATTCTAAGCTAGCTGAACTTTTTTGTACTGATAAATCCCCACAGAAAACATGTTTATTATCAATTTTTGAGTTGCAGAAAATCAATCCCTTTCTTATATCGATAGAATTAACTTTTGTTAAAAATAAATTCTCTTTTAATCAACAAATTATATAAAGATGGTTGGTGCTGATTTCTTTTTTTATAATTTTAAATTAAGAAAAACATTAACAATGAAAGAATGCTTTATTAGGATTTATTATTTGGACGTAAAAAGACACCAGCAGAAGTGTTATATGAATGGAGTCAAACTAGAAACTTCAAAAAAAAATTTTTAATTAGTAGATATCAAAAAAAAAACAGAAAAGAAAATCAAATGGTATATAGAATGAATATTTTAATTAAAAAATATGTTGTAAATAACAGGAGAGACCGTCCTATATAAGGAATGGATTTTCACAATTGATTTCAAATTTTTTTATACAGTTTAAAATACTTTTACAAGGGTATCATGTAGCCCATTCTTACAATAAATCATGTGCAAATAATTACACAAACTTGAAGCTTTACACTTTGTTGTTATCATATCTTTGAATCCCACAACTTTCATAATACAATTTACTCGAAGAAAAATTGTGTGAAATTAAACATTGCACAGAATGTAAAACCACTGAATCAGCTAAATTTCGTCAACAAAAGGCAATAAATGGAAAGAAGCTGAGAACAACAACTTACTGAAGGTAACATGTTGTTTTATGTAACATTTGTTATATGAATTTTGTAGAAAATCCTTTAAAAAGAGAACCTAGGAGAGTAAAAACCACAGGTGTGGAAGAGGAAGAGGAAGAGGTAAATGTAGGGCTTGGCACCGTTAACCGTTTAACCACGGTTAACCGGTTAACTGCAATTAAATGGTTAACCGGTTAAGATATTTTTTTAACTGGTTAATTCTTTTTGATTAACCGGTTAAAATTAACCGGTTAATTTAACCAGTTAACCATATATTAATATTTTTTTAATTAATGATTTAATAATAATGATACCACTGCTTGCTACTGCTGCTACAATCTTTTCCTAATAATATGGCAATTCTTTTGTTTTTTTTTGTTCCCATAACCATATGACAAAGCCACATGATTAATTTGTACAATAATGTTCACCTTGTGGCTTCTCCATATTCTCCGTTAACCATAAATTCAACAAAATTCATAAAATTCATAATTCATAAAATTCATAATTCATAAAATTCATAAAAATAAATTCATAGAGTATATTAATTCATCACCTGAAACTTGGAGCCAAGAAAGGTAGAAAAAATATATATTTAAAAAAAGAATTATAAAATTTTATTTATTTTAATAATTAAACAAGCTGAAAATTTATCAGCATTAGATTCAGTCGGAACACACATTACCACCTGCTCCATCTGAAGCTGGTTCAACAATATCATCCAATTTCACCAAAAGAAAAGTTTTGTCAGAAGTCAGGTTTTGTGTATTTTCATTTTTCCATTTTTTGCATTTATGCAATTATTAATTCTCACGCATAATAATAAATCTTTCATTAGCTCATAATATTGTAACAATGGATGTAACAAGTGAACATTATGAACCATTTAATGAAGCTGAAGATAATGAGGGTTTTGATACTGGTAATACGTCTAATGACACACGAGATAACCTTGGAAGTAATAGAAATATTATTGGGAAAATACGTAATAAAAAATCCAAAACCTGGGATTATTTTGAAGATGATGGAAATAATATTAAATGTAATGTATCAAATTGTGGTTCCAAATATTCAAGAAAATCAGTATCTACATCAACATTGAACTATCATTTAATACATAGACATGAAATTTTTATTCAAGAACAAGTATGTTTATAAATGAATAATTATTAAAGTAAATCTATGTATTATATATAATAATATTTTTTTTTTTTTAGAAAAAAAAAACTAATCAAAGAACAGTTGTTGAAATGTTTGAAAAGATCAAAGAACACCCCCCTAAACAAATGAGAGAACTTCAATGTGCTGCTACAAAATGGGTTGTGTTGGATTCCTTGCCATTTAATGTGATGAAAGGCAATGGGTTTAAACAATTTATGAAAAGATTGGATCCAAGGTTTCGTATCCCAAACAACAAAACAACAAAAAACCTAATTACAAAAGCATACACATTACAAAAAAAAAAATTAATCAATCTAATAAGAGAAACTTGTGATACTGCAACTATCACTACTGATTTATGGACAGCAAGATCTAAAGTAGGTTACATAGGTGTTACATGCCACTGGCTTACACCAGATTTTGAACTAGTTGATGTCCTACTTGCAATTGAAAAAATGCCATATCCACATTCAAATCAAACGATTCTTGAATATCTAAAAAATAAAATTAATGAATTTGGGCTTGAAGGGAAATTAATTTGTGGCATAACTGATAATGGAAGTAACATGAAAAAAGCATTTGAGTTGTGGGAAGAAGTTGAACGAATTCCATGCACTGCTCATGTACTTCAATTAACTATAAATAAAGCACTTGGATCAATCAAACCATATGTCAAAAGATTTAAAAAATTGGTTAAATTTTTCACATCATCTCCAAAACAAACTGAAAGGTTAAATAATGCTCAATTAGAAATTTCTGTACGTGGTGGTCAACAACAAGATTTGGGTCAGAATAATTTAATACATTTTCAAAGTAATGATGATGGAAATGATAATGGTAATAACAATAATGATAATGGTAGTGATGATGAAGATGAAGATGAAGATGATGATGATGATCAAGAAACTAATTTAAACAATATAAACATATTAAGAAATGTGGCAGCTGTTAAAACAAGGTGGAATGCATCTTATAATTCATGGGTTAGATTGTTGAAGTTGCGAAAGTCAATTGAATGGTTGGCAAATACTTTACCTTATGAACCTGGAAAAGATTCTAAATCTGATGCTCGTAGGCTTAAATATTTATTATTGAAGAATTATGAATGGGAATTGCTAGAAAAAATTTTGTCACTTCTTAAACCTTTTGAAGAGGCAACAACTTTTTTTTCTGGTGCTCAATATCCCACTTTATCATTAATGTATCCAATCATACAAAAATTAAAAGTAAAGTTTGCATGTGGAGAAGAGCAGGATGGTAAAGAATTTGATATAAGTGTGTATTGTTGATTATAATATGTTATAATAATTTCTAAATAATTTGTTTTTAGGTGATGATGATACCAGTGACAATAATGATGATGATGATGATGATAATGACGATGATGATGATGACGACGATGATGATGATGATGATGATGATGACAATGATGATGATGATGATGACAATAATGATGACAATAATAACAATGATGATGACCCATTAATTCATAAACATTTTACCCGATCACGAACTTCAATTCCACCAAGACCAAATCTTAACAATGTTGCATTAAATTTTCAGCGAAAAATTTATAATTCTTTATTTGATTATTGGGATAAAACTTCAGATCTTGGTTTACTGGCAACTATATTGGATCCTCGTTTGAAAAGATTGTCTTTATTTGATTACAACACTAAACAAAACACAATAGAAAAATTAAAAGAAATTTATCTACAATATGAGGAAAATGGAATTTCAGTAAATGAAAATTCTTCAAATTTGTCAGAAACATCAAGATATTCATCTAATTTTTTTGAATCAATTTTTGATAATGAAGAACATGATGAGATATCTGAAGTGGATAAATATTTGGATCTTCGTTTAACTCCTTTGGCACATCAATCAGAAAATCCTTGGGCTTGGTGGAAAGCAAGGAAAAGTGAGTTTCCAACTCTTTCAAAAATATCCAGAAAATATTTATCAATACCAGCAACATCTGTGCCTGCTGAAAGGCTTTTCAGTGATGCTGGTAATCAAATAAATCCTAAGCGTACATGTTTAGCACCTAAACTTGTTAATGAGCTCTTATTTTTGAAAAGAAATAATCCTTATTGTGAGATTGATTTTGACTAAATAAAATTTAGTTTAAATGTCAATTAAATTCCTATCATAACCATTAGAATCTATCTATGAAGTGTATAATGAAATTCAACAGGAATGTGATTATTTTGTAACGAACGATTGAATTTACCAATTAAAATTTTTCACGTGACCAAATTAACCGGTTAATAAAGTTAACCGATTAACCGGTTAACCGTTTCTAAAATTAACCGGTTAACCGTTTCTAAAATTAACCGGTTAACCGGTTAACTCTTATTTTTAATGGTTAATTAACCGGTTAAAGAATTTTTGCGCGGTGCCAACCTCTAGGTAAATGAAAAGATTGATTTCACTAGAGCCATCAAGGTCCTATATATGCTTTTGATGAAATACAAAGATTGCTCCAAGAAATAGAACCAAGCTTGAAGTGGCTTTTTGACCAACTCTATTTAGCAGCTCAGCCATTTGAACATAATGAACAAATAATGGGCCATATGAAGAAATTAATGGTGGTGTTCATGTGTTATCTTCTTCTTGTTTTATTAAATAATACAAAATCAACTCTTTTAAATTTGACCTTGTATTCTATTTAGACTTGGTAGATACAAGTCTTGGAGTAACTACAACATCAAGAGCAATAGATTGTAAAAAGAAGCAAGTTGCAGATGAACATGAGAATGCACTTACAAAATATTCAAAAAATACATTCTTGTTGAATGTTGACGATTCACGTCCAGAGACAATCAGTATCCTTTAATTACTAAAACTTTGTTACTTCTAGGAAACTATCTATCTACAAACATTTTTTACGATTACATATAATGTGATTACACTAACTATACTAATTTGAATAATTGTAGTGTACCCATTTATCACAATCATTGTCTACAAAGGTGTCAATCTAAATGTTTGATATCTTGGACTATCTTCAAGTCGAAATCAAAAAAAATGTCAACACACTAAAAGAAAGTATGATGAAAAATATTAAATGAAAATAATTTATCGAAAATAACGAAAATACAGTTGATGACGATCAGGGCAATGTTGAATCAGCAATAGATGACAGCAACAATGGAAATTTTATTAGAATATGCAAAAAAAATTTTTTGGGTTGTAAATTTTGTTTTATCAAATAAATTTGATTGATTTTTCATACATTATTCATTTTTTTCGTCACAATCATGCATCTTAAATTTGTTGTGTTTACAATCATTTCATTGATATTCATTATATTAAGGTTATTTTGATTATATCGAGAGATATGGTCAAGAGAAGAGTTAGGAAGAGAGTTATTCTTCGACCAAGTCAAAAACCAACCCTTTAAATACATTTTCGAGTAGTACAATTTAATTTATTAGACTATTTCTTCCAACTTCTTAAATTCGTTAATAAAACAATTGTTGGTGAAGTGATTGTTGACAAAATGAATCAATCTCATATTAATATTTATTTCTACGTTTATAAAATTTGTGTGTTCCCTCCTGTTGATTTTGTGTTCCCAGAACGGTCTCCTGTTGGTCAAATCAGAAGGAATTTTTATGTGACTATACTTGGTGGTGTATGAATTACGCGACCATATTTTATTTATTACCGCGTTTTTTCCTGAAGATCTACTTTGTTGATACTTCTGTAATTAAAATACTAATAGAACTCTTTTCTATATTTATACATGAAAAGTGTCATTATGACATATAAAATAACGTGTGGTTTCCCCCACCCACTTCTTTAATTTACATTTATAAGATCAATATAAAAGCGATACCATACCTACCATCTAAAAATATTGTTTGTTTCTTGTTGCAACTAGTTACAATAATGGTGTGAAGCTAACTGGGATCACTACCAAAATCCTTTTCTAATATTAAACATTGAATTTCCATAAATGCTTTTATATTATGTTTTTGTTTGGACACAATGTAATTTTTTGTAAACTTTTTGATTGACTTTTTCAATATGAATTTTGCATTTGGAAGCTCCCATAATCCATTTTCATGTTCACGCGGAGCTTTTTTGTTTCATCTGAGCTATAGATTCCATTTACATTATACATACAAATGAATTATTAATTTAGATAGGACATTATTTATTTAATTAATATGATGTGAGAGTGGTTGTTCACAAGTCGTAGCGAAACGCGAGTATATAGAGCGGACATGTGGTGTGACTTGTGGAATGTAATAAGGAGAACAAGGTATATACGAAGATGCAACTATTAATTACTTTGAAGGTTTGGAAAAAAGGGAGGCAAGTATTAAATCACTTAAAAAATTATCAAGAACAATTTGCGTTCTCTTTCAAAAAATTTTCTACGATGAAAACTCGTTTAACCTTTAATGTTGTTTGACGAAATGTTACCAAAGTTGTAAAACTATTTACATCAAATTCGCTGCCATTAAGTCAAAAATGATGCAAGTAAAATTGCTCACAAAAAAAACTTATGAATGTATATTCTAAGGTTTTTTAATATTTTTCTTGTGTATCCCAATCTCTCCTTTGTTTTATCAGTTGTGTTCTCAAGGAGCTAAGTTTTTCTTTTGCTGAATACATGATCGGGGTAGATGAAATCATCGGTACTTTATGTTCGAGGGTCAACTAATTTTAATAATAATAATCCCATCTTTATTTTTATCCTTATTGTATTGCTCAACGAAAATTCCATTGATAACTTCTGGTCCTCGCAGAGGATAATTAACATTCTAATAAAATAAAACTGATAGAATTATTTTGTTTATTAAATAAAATTAATCGTTAAATAAAAGCATTGTCGTTATTTTCTTTGTCTAGAACGCTTTGATAAAAGCAACAAGTGTAGTTAGTGCCTTGGTAAAAGGTAACAATCGTGGAGCTTTGGTAAAAAGTCACATTTATTTGTTTTAATGAGCAAGCAAGTTAACTAATGAGTGTTAACAACGATTAGTAACATGATTTGCTTTAGTGAGTAAGCAAAGGTTAGGATTAACTGACGAGTGTTAATGAAGCATCGTCCAAAGGTTGACCAGAAATACTGATAGTGTTACTGTAATTGTAAACGTGATGCTGTTAAACGAGCTACTCAAGTTGTTTTGCAAGTAAACAAAAGCGAGTTTGCAATCGGTCAATAAATGTAAACGAATAAATCGATCACATGTGAATAAAAGGAACTTTATAGAAGTCCTTGAGCTTTGTAAAAGGACATCTTTATTTATTTACAGTTATTTGGTGCACACAGATTCGTCTAGGTGCAATAAAAAGGGAACAAAAATAAAATTGTAAACTAGTAATTGACAAGCACTGAATTATTTCAACAAGAGTAGCCCAAAAGTCAGGCCATAATTGTTAATTAACTGAAATGATACCATAATTTAACAAGAATCAAAAATTTTATAACATTATTTATAATTTAGCTTTAAGAAATAAAATAAAGATAAAATAAAAAGACAAATAAAAAGACAATGAATAAATTTTATAGTGGAGATTAAATAAGTCATTCATCGATTCTTTCTTTTAATTGTTAGAATCAAATGTAAATAAAAAATATTATTAGTAATAATTAATGGATAGTTCTAATTAATTAATTATTAATGAAATTTTATTCACCTTCAGCATTTAAGATAAAAGAGCTAAAGTCAAGACTATTCAATGAACTATCATTACTTGTATAACTTTTTAAGCTTTTTGATTTAGCAATCTCTTCATCTAATATTCTACTTTTATGATATGCGTCTGGATGTGATTCGTGTACTTGTTGCAAAGCACTACCACTACTGCCACTACTATTAATATTATTGATATCATTAATAATTTCATTATGTTTATTATAAGCAAATCGAAGAAGCTCTTCACTAGTTGGTCTTTTTGATGGGTCCACATCCCAACACCTCTGCATCATTTGTGCGTAAGCATCAGGCATTCCAGGCAATATTGGTGGTCGTAAACCTTTTGCACATATATCAAAAATCAAACGATGATTGTGAGCTCTATTGTCAAATGGTGGATGACCTGCAAATATTTCCCACATTAACATCCCAACACTATAGATATCTGATTCTTTGGTGTTCTT